GCATCTGTGGAGAGAAATTGATATTTCAGGTCGGGTGACCCTTCCTCAAAACTGTTGGTGGCTCGGAAAATGTCGTTTTTATGCAGAAGATAGGGAAGGGGGAAGAGAGTAAAAAGTAAATGATAGGTGGGGAAAGAGCCCAAAGAGAGAGAAGAATAGTTGGACAGACAATGGAGTCGATAACGCTCTGGCTAGTAGGGTGAATATCTGTTGATGGAGACTGCTAACAATGAGTTGTGAGTAATAGCAGACTATGTGATAACAAGCCTTGGTGTGTGGGGGTGGGGGCTAGAACATAGGAGAGTTCAAACCCTAACGTTATTGAACTCGATATTGAGTCCAGGAGACTGCAGGGACCCCAAACAGAAAATCAAGTGTTATTCTTCCAGCTTACACTGAGTTTTGCTGGAGCACTGCAGCAAGCCTGAGACAGAGATGATGGCCAGGGAACAGGGTGGTGTGTTGAGGTGGCAGGCAACTGGAAGCTCAGGGTCATTTTTTGCAGACAGATGTAGGTGTTCTGTGAAGCGGTCACCCAGTCTATGCTGTGTTTGCCCGATGTAGAGGAGACCACATTGTGAGCAGTGAATGCAGTACACGAGATTGTGTGAGTCTGACTCCTCCCTTCCCTTCCTCGACATCCGTTTCTATTCGTGGGGATAAACTGGCCAGTAATATCCACTATAAACCCACCGACTCCCACAATTACCAACACATTCTTGCACCTTGCTTCCTGTAAAGACTCCATTCCATCCTCCCAATTTCTCTGTCTCTGTCACATATGTTCCGATGACACCAACTTTGACAAGGGAGCCTCCGAAATGTCCACCTTCTTTCTCAACCAAGGATTCCCCAGCACTGTTGTTGAAAGGGCCCTCAACTGGGTCTGACCTATCTTCCGCACTTCAGCCCTCACCCCCTTCTTTCCCATCTCTCAACAGTGATAGGGTTCCTCTTGTCCTTACCTACCAGCCCATCGGCATCCACATCAAGGATATCATTAGCTGCTGCTTCCACCACCTCCAGCAAGATGCCACCACCAGACAAATGTTCCCCTCCCATCCCTTGTCTGCCTTCCACAGGCACCATTCCCTCCAGGACACCCTGATTCACTCTTCCTTCATTCCCTATAACCTCCACAGCCCCACGGCATATTCCCCTGCAGTCACCAAAGGTGTAACACTTGCCCATGTACCTCCTCCCTCCCCAGCATCCCAGGGCCCAAACATACCTTCCAGGTGAAGTAGCACTTTACCTGCACTTCACAGAATCTAGTCTACTGCATTTGCTGCTTAACAACGTGGTCTCCTCTACTTTGGCGAAACAAAACATAGACTGGGTGACCACTTTGCAGAACAGTATGTTCTGTTCGCAAATATGACCTTGAGCTTCCAGTTGCCTGCCACTTCAACACACCATCCTGTTCCCTGGACAATATCTCTGTCTCAGGCATGCTGCAGTGCTCCAGCAAAGCTCAGTGTAAGCTGGAAGGACAACACCTTATTTTCTGCTTGGGGATCCTGCAGCCTTCTGGACTCAATATTGAGTTCAATAACTTTAAGGCTTGAACTCTCCTCTGTCCTAGACCCCATGCCCACACACTAGACTGTGTTATCACATAGTCTGCTATTACTCACAACCCATTGTTAGCCACTAACAGTCTCCACTAATAGCTTTTCACCCTCCTAGGCAGATTGTTATCCACTCCTTTGTCTGTCCAACTATTCTTCTCTCTCTTTGGGCTGTTTCCCCACCTATCATTTACTCCTTACCTCCTCTTACCACCCTATCTTCTGCATAAAAACAGGCATTTTCCTAGCCACCTTCAGTTCTTAGGAAGGGTCACTGGACCTGAAACGTTAACTCTAATTTCTCTCCACAGATGCTGCCAGACCTGCTGAGCTTTTCCAGCAATTTCTGTTTTTGTTACTGATTTACAGCATCCACAGTTCTTTTGGTTTTTAGATAGGTATATAATGTAAGACTATCTATGTGGAATTCATCTTTGCATTACCTCGATTTGGACATTACTGGAGAGGTCACTATTTACTGACAATCCCTAGTTGCCTAGAGAAGGCAGTGATAAAACTTTTTCAACAACTGAATGGCTAGGTAGGCAATTGGAGGATGGTCAAGAATCAAATATGTTGGTGTCAAACTGAAAAAGAAAGGAACAAAAACAGAAGTTGCTGGAAAAGCTCAGCAGGTCTGGCAGCATCTGTGAAGAAAAAAATCAGCTAAACATTTCGGGTCTGGTGACCTTTCCTCAGAAAAAGAATTTTGAATCGTATTTGCCATGAACACCAGACATCTCAAAGAGTTTTACAGCCAATGAAGTGCTTTTGAAATGGGGTCACTGTTATAATGGAGGCAATGGAGCAGCCGATTTGCATACAGCAAACTTCTACAAACAGTAATGTGATAATACCCAGATAGTGATGTTAGTTCATAGAGTAATATTAGTCAGGATATTAGGGTTAATTCCTCTATTTTCTCTTTAAAATAGTGATTTGATGTCATTTACATCCCATTTCTCACTTTACTGTCTCATCTGAAAGAATAGTTCTGACAGTACAGCACTCCCTCAGTATCACACTGGATTGTCAGCCTAGATATTGTGCTCAAACCTTGGATAGAAGCTTCAACCCAGAACTTTATGATTTCAAGACATGGATATTACCAATTGATCAACACCTCATACTCACTAGGTTCACAGAAAGGGTAAGAGCAAGTTTCCTAAACTAAAAAGACATTAATGAACCTGCTTGGTTTCAACAACAGTCTAACCGCTTTATGCCATTTTTGCTGACACCAGCTTTTTAAATCCAGATTTTGCAAACTGAATTCAAATTTGCAAATTATCACAGCGGGATGTACAATTCTTGTACTCTGGATTATTAATCCTGTTCTTTTTGCACATCAAATATTTTCTAAAGCAGACACTTAGGGTTGGATTTTTTTTTTTACTACCCAGGACGGTAGTTTGATTAGATAATTTCTTAACTTGGCAGACCACTTTCACTTAAAGGACCCTGTTGGTCACAAATTTTGTGGGTCAGGTTTGAATTAGGCCTGCCAAGCTTGGGAGCAGATCTTGGGTGGCCACAAGGGCAGGTGCGTGCCAAGATAGACTGGTTAAAAGGCTTCCCTCAGTTCTCTAGAAATTAGTTCCCATTTTAGAAGTTGGCAGGCCCTAGCCCTTGCCCTACTGCTGTCTCTCAAAGATAATCTCTTGCCTCCCACGCAGCCCCAAGATGTTGGAAAGGCCTCTTCTGGAGTACTGTGTGCAGTTCTGGTTCATTAAATTGGAAAGGGTTCAGAAAATATTTACCAGGGTGTTGCCATGAATGGAGGGTTAAAATATAAAAATAGGCTGGGACTCTTTACAATGGAGCACTGGAGGTTGAGGGGTGACCTTAGCATTTTATAAAATCGTGACGGGCACAGATGAGGTGAATAGCATGGCCCTAGGTTGGGGGAGATCAAAACTAGAAGGCATATTTTTAAGGTGACAGGAGAAAGTTTTAAAAAGGACATGAGAGGCAACTTTTTTATACAGCGAGTGATTCATGTGTGGTATGAACTGCCAGAGGAAGTGGTAGGTGCAGGTACAATTACAATATTTAAAAGCCAATTGGATAAAAACATGAACAGGAAAGGTTGGATGGATATGAGCCAAATACAGGCAAATGGAACGAGTTTTGTTTAGGAACATGGTCAGCATGGACTAGAGTCATTAGAGTCATACAGCATGGATACAGACCTTTAGATCGAAGTGTCTGAATCCATGCTGTATGACTATGACTCCATTGTTCACGCTCTCTACTTAAGCTGTTATCCCTCCTATCCCCATTCAACCTCCAAGCTAACTCTGATTTCAGCCCACATCCCTGCTTCATCGTGCCCCCTCCTATGCCAGCTCCACACACCCAGTATCCACTATGGGCAGATCTCAGGAGATGTGGAAATTGAAAAAATAAACATCGAACAGTCCAATGCAGCTCTCAGTCATGCACAGAGAAAAACACCCATTTAAACTCTTAAAAAGAATCTCAGGTAGTTACTATCTTAAATAAACAAATTACTAATAATACTTCACATGAATGACAACTAAGTTTTTAATGGCTTCTCTAGATTTCCAATCACAAAGAATTCAGAAACTTCCTACCAGGATAATTGTACACTTTAAAACTCAGCTGAGCATTCATAAATATATAATAATAGCCCTTAGGAAATGTCAAGGAAGACTGCCTTTGAGACTGTATGAATTTTTTTTTCTCATCTATGCCAGATGGTCTGTCAATCAAAGCAGTCCAATTAAGTATTGAAGTCCAACTAAGTTTTGAAGGAGGATCACTGGAACCAAAATGTTAACTCTGATTTCTCTCCACAGATGTTGCCAGACCAGTTGAGTTTTTCCAGAAATTTCTGTTTTCTTTCCAAGTAAGTATTTTATTAATTCTCACTGATAGCTTGATTTTCATGATTAAAGGGCAGGGAGTTTTAAAAAAAATTCAGATCATGACATTTAAATAGACATTATGTGCATTTAAAACAAAAACATTTAAATCTACTCCATCAATTAACAACTTCTATATTCCAGACTAAGTCCTTTGGACTAGACAAAGTGGAGTCTGTTTGAACTCAATCATTTTAGAATCGGTCTGCTACATACAAGTTTTCTGCCTGAGTGAATCACATCCTGCCCCTTCCTGATAAAAATGGGATCTGTCAGAAATGGCTTGGGACTTCCATATATAGGTTCTGCCTGACCTATTTTAAAGATCCAAGGAGTCTTCCTTACTCCACTAAGATCCAGCCCTTTGAAATCAGACATTTTATTGAGCATTAATAAAGACAGTATTTACTTATTGTGCAATATCAAGTTGCCTTGATTTGGAAGGCTGAATTTAGACAAATAATGCATGGTGTTTAAAATGGAAACACCCAATTTCCATTGCACAGAATTTAAGTATACTCAGCAAAGATGAAACAAAATATTGAACACTGAAACCCACATTTATTGACAGTTAATTTAAAACAGTAACAAAATATCAAATTGCAGACTTTATATACAAAATTAACAAAGATACAGAAACAACAAAACTAACCTCTCGTGAGATGCATGTACGTAGCAGACTGTACCAGTATTTGTGATCCTTAATCTTGATAAAGTATGACAAATAACATCCCACTGCTTGGAAACTGAAGTACAGCAAAGTCTATCTGAAATAGGGATGATGAAATATTTGGAGTAGACAATTCATTTGAATTAAGACTTTGTACCCAAAGCTTAAACTGAAATGGACCTACTACACATCTCAAACATGTGCTATTTTACTTACTACTCTTAAGCCTTAATATAAAAAAAACTTAACAAATAGAAGTAGATATGTACATATTCCTTGAATAAATTTTGCCTGGTTTAACTATTTTAAAAATCTGGTGTAAAAACATGGTCCTTGTTTTTGGTTTAGTGGTAGATTCAGTCACGTATTTATGGAAGATCCTCAGCATGTTTTTGAACTAAATTACATCAGTTGTCCAGTTCTATTCAGTTGATATTCAGCAAGCTGCAATATACTGTACTACAATTTGAAGTTTTCAATTTGTTGAGTCTTTATTTTCACAGTTTAAACTCTCCAAACACGTCAGCCCTTTAAAATATATACCACTAAACACAGTAGGTGGCAGTACGTAACAAATAGTTTAAATTTCATTGTCTCAATGAAATTATGAGTTTATCATCAAAGGCAAGATCATGGAATTTTAGACTTTGTTCCTTCTCCGTTGTCCCAGGACCTCCTTCGTTATACGGGTGACACTCTGTGAGACTCCTTGGCTTCCTTACAGCTGTACAACCATTTAATGACCCTGGCATTGCGCTCAATGATGGAGATGCCATATGGGATGCGCTCGTTCGCCCTCTCCTCAACCACGTTGCTGTATTGGGAACGGTTATACTCCGAGCTGAGGTTGCTAGCGCTGTACAGCTTGAGGGATACGATATCCGAGCTGGCTCGGGCCAAGCATTCCCCTATCTCCATGCTCTCCAGTTCCTCTGGGTCCAGGCCGCAGTAGTTGAAGAATCGCTCCAAGTTGGCACTGACCCGGGAATAGCGGTCGCTCAGGTCTGACTTGGAGCGGTGCAGGGAGAGCTGTGGCCGGGCCGCCGCTTCGGGGTAGGCTTTCCTCGGCGAGCCCCTGGAGCTGGTAGTGGAGGATAGCCTGGACCTGACCACGGAGGGGCACGCTGGCCTCCAGCCGGCCCTGCTGACATTGGGACGGACATCCACCCTGCGGACAGCTGCGTTCTGAGGCGGCACCAACACGCTGCTGGAGTGCAGCTCAGCTCCCAGCCTCTCCCCCGGCTCCGGGCGGCCACAGCGCGGCAGCTTCCCTGGGCTACACTCGGTGGTCCGCTCCCCCGGATCAGGCTGGCTGCCTGGCGCGTTTGGAGTCTCATAAATGAGGTTTCTCAGAGTCTCCAGGTTTAGGGCTCCCCTCCAATCTGCATTCTCTGTCCTGCGGACTCCAGCACTCGCAGCTTTCCTGGGGCTGTGAAGGCTCCTCCTAATGGTAGGGGACAGGACCGGTTCACTCGCCTTTACTGGCTCCTGTCGGGTATTCGCTACTTTCTGGCTCTTCACATACTTTAATTTATCAGCTTCCAGGCGCTCTACCGCACTCGGCTTCCTGTTGCTGCTCTCCATCTGCTTTCGAAAATAATCGGGTCCCTTGTTCAGGATCCGGAACGGAATCGCCGAGGTGAAAGTGGGAGGCCCAGACACTTGTTTCAGCATTTCCTGCTTTTAATCACTTTCTCCTTGCGGTAACCAGAAACTGAGGCTAAGTATTCACAATTTGCTCAGTGTTAATGGAGCATCAGGGTCAGTCTCCCATCCAGCACAGGCTGAAAGCAGCAGTAAAAATCCCAATGTAATTTCACCAGGTCTAACCAGTGGCAGGATTCCCCAGGTTTAACTTGCTTCCTGTTTATACAGTCCTGTGAACGTCTCCACTGCTCTGCAAGACAATGAAAAATAAGATGAACTTTTAAGCTTCAATTTCCGAAAACCCCCCAAAATCCCAAACACTGGTTGAGCCAAATCCGATTTAACTTTATACTGACTCAATCGAGCCTGCGCCTTTTGTTCAAGTTATCCTGCTGTAACCGAGTCAATGTCACGGATTTCTCGATTAGTATACTTTAATAACCTGTCCCACGACTTGAAGTGTTAAACATCTAAAAGTATCAGCAGTTGGAGACAACCTCCAACTGATTCAGCGCAGCTTAGACTTGCCTGTGGCTGCTTTTCCCAAGCCCAGGAGTAGATCCCCCAGGAAGTTGGCCAATACCCACCAGGCACACGGAGTGACTGAAAATAAGCAATAGCCGGGAGGTTAGTGAGCAACCCTTTCACATACTAACACGGCAGTAACGTTGGCAATACAAGCAGTGATAGAAATTTGGCAGAACGACGTAGTGAAATGGCAAAAGTGCTCACATTATGCACGCAGCTCCCGTTCTGATCTGAAAACAAGTTCTGAGTGCAATACTTTCCAATAAAAAAACCTTCACCCGAGACAGCTGATGATATCTCCAGGAGTTTCCCAGTGAAAGACAGAGGTTAGGAAATGAAAACGTTTGCAAATCAATTAATGCAAAAGAAAGAACTTACATTGTTAAGAGTTCACAACCTCAATGTTCTAAAGCATTTTACGACCAATGAAATATTGTTTTTTTGAAGCACAGTGTCTGCAGCAATGTAGGAAGCACCTCGCTGAATTTGTACCAAGACAGATAACCAGATAATTAATTTAATAATGGTAATAGAGTAGCAGATACTGGGCAGGTTAGCTTGGCAAACCGCCTTGTAATTTTTTCAAAATTGGGATATTTAACAGACATCCATGAGGGTAGACAGGGCCTCAGTTTAGTGTGTTATTTGACAGATGGCATCATTGACAGTGTCCTATTTCCTACAGGGCGTGGGTTAAAAAAAACCAAACTCAACTTTGGGGTGAGGGTATCTTCATTAATCTTGAGAAGGCATTTGTCTGAATCAAAAGAATCTATGTCATCAACTTTTACTCATTAGTGAAATTGGGTCAATGAAGGATTCAAAAACTTGCACTGTTCACTTCTAGTTGACACAGTGGCCTGGATTCTCCTCCACAGACAAAGATCAATGAGCATCCAGGTTGTCAACTGTATTATAAGTGCACTATCATAAACAGTTGTTACTCATGTCCTACCTCCACCAAGGCTGCTGCTGTTTTTTCTTTCTGCTACATACAAGTGACAGGCATGAGACTGGGTAGGGCGAATACAGTGGATGTGTCCCTGAAGATTTTTCCTCATGGTGGTTTACTGCTGCTTCACAGGATACTGTGTAGTTGATGAAAGCAGGCCCCAAGTTCTCCAACTATACAGTCTGTGCCTTTTATGGATTAACTTTGCTACAATGCTTTTGATGAGTGCACAAATGACTATAAGCTTATATGTATTTTTGACTAAACTGAAATTGTACTGATTGTATCAAGGTCAGCCAGGTGGACCTCGTAGAATATGAGTTCCCTTATTGGCACTGTTAATCTGATCCTATCAGGGAGCCCTGGCAGACAGATATTAACAGGATTATCAGAGGTTTTGTTCACTCAGAGCTGGCTCTAGAGGTAGCTGGATCAGTGCCAAGGACTCTCCAAGTGTAAATAAAGGGTGACCTGTGGATGGGATAATGGCCTCTGTGGAGTTATTTCAGTGGCGATGGGAGTGGGATTAATGAGGTAATGATGCAAAAGTGCTTAGTAGTTGAAGCTCAAATGAACATCATACTGGCACTACAACAGGCTTTATCATTAGAAAATGTGGCAAGTGGAACATTGGAGTTGCAGGGTATTCAGATGGAAGTGGGCACCCTCACCAGGCTGACTGAGCTTGGGGAACACCACTTGATTAAAGGCAGTTGCAATAGCCTTACCCAAGACATACAGAGTCATAGAGCTATACAGCATAGAAACACACCCTTTGGTCCAACTTGTCCATGCCAACCAGATATCCTAAATTAATCTATTCCCATTTGCCAGCATTTGGCCATATCACTCTAAACTCTTCCTGTTCATATTCTTAGAATGAACTCCAATGTCCAGAGATACTTGAAACTAAACAGCAGAGGCAATCAGCTGTGCAGGTTCACTGCTGGTTGTTTCACCTCCGTGGTACCTGCTCTCTCTCTCTCTTCCTACTTTTTAAAGTGCTGTTCTTTTGATCTCTTTTTACCCAAAGTTCCAAAATAATGCAACAGCTTATAAAATAATAATTACTGCTCCAAAAATTTGAGGAAAATCAGCTTCAACACTGAAAATACTTCAGAAAAAAAAGCAGCTCTCACAGCCACAATGTTTTTCCCCATTCTCCAACATTGGATTACCCAGAATCCTTTTATGAATCCTGAACAGAGAAACTCTTGGTCTACCCACAGCAAAACCCCAAACCTCAGCCAAACAAGTAAAACTTTCTTCAGGATCTGGGTCAGCAAGTCATTGTAGTTGCTACCAGAATGTGGACTCCAGGCAGCAAAAGAATCCCACTAGACCTAAATGAAGTTTAAAAACTTAAGGCTGGTATCCAGAAGAGTGCACACCCTGGAAAGCCCACCTGCATCTGGTTTGGAACAGTTAAATTGCTTAGCAATTTCCAAATCAGAACCAATCAAAATAAATGTCTGGTTAAATGGTCACCCGGTTCGATTGAAGGTCAATACTGGTGCAGCTGTTTCCATGATCACAGAACCAGTCTTTAACAAAATTCACTCTGGACTCCAACATTTGTGCAAGCTCTCGGCTAGGCTGAGAGCCTATACCGGGGAACCTTTACACATTAAGTGTACCACTTCAGTTCTAGGCCTCTAATGAGAAGCAGCTGTTTCAGTTACCACTGATTGTGGTAAAAGGTTCAGGCCTGAGCTTGATGGGCAAAATTGGTAGAGAAAGATTCAACAAGATTGGCTCAACTTTTTCAATTAGAAAATAGCTACCAGAGTGAAGTCCTAATTAAATTCCTGGAAGTTTATCAGGAAAGTCTCGGGACCATCAAAGGAGACAAGGCCCCCTTGCACGTTAACCAGGACTCAATTCCATGGATCTGCAAGGCCCACCCAGTGCCATTTGTCTTACAGGCAAAAGTAGACGCAGAAATCAGAAGGCATCACTAAACCAGTCTAGTTTGTGGAACGGGCAGCATTGGTTGAACCGATTGTGAAGCCCGATGGATCAATTAGCTTTTGTGGGAATTTTAAACAAATGGTAAACCACTTTTCACAGCTGGATAAATACCCAATCCCTCACATAGAGAGTTTATACTCAAAGCTGGCAGGGGGTGTGTCCATAACAAAGCTGGATATGAGCCATGCGTACTTGCAATTGCGGTTAGATGAAGATTCTCAGATTTATGCTACAATTAATACCCATCAAGGTTTGTACCAATATATGACACTACCATTTGCAGTATTGTCAGCTTGTGAAATTTTTCAGTGGCCGATGGGAGAACATTTCACAAGGTCTACCCCAGGTTGCTATTTACCTAGATGATGTGCTAATAAAAGGGAAGACCAATAAGAGAAGACCACTTAAGAGAACTTGGACATAGTCCTTAGACATTTCTTCCTGGCAGGCGTATGCCTTAGAAGGAAAAAAATGTGTGTTCCAGGCATTCTGAGTGACCTACAGAGTTATACCCATTGAAGATAAAATGAGGGTGATCAAACATGTCCCAGCTCCAAGCCTGCACCAGGGTTTAGGCTTTTCCTTGGGCTGGTGAATTATTACAGAAAGTTCATACATAACCTTGCCTCCATCCAGGCGCCTTTGCATCAACTCTTAAAGGATCAGCCTTGGAAACAGTTGCATAGTCAAGCCATAGCTTTCAGGGAAGTGAAGAAACTGTTATCATCCTCTAAGGTATTGGCACACTATGATCCCAAGCAAGATCTGGTATTGGCATGCAATGCCTCCCCATGTGGCATCAGGGTAATATTAGCTCATAGGTGGCCCAATGGAGAGGAATGCCCAATAGCATAAGCATCCAGGACTTTGGCTAATGCAGCGCATAAATTTGTGCAGATAGAGAAGGAAGGTTTGGCAGTCTTATTTGGAGTCAGGGGAAGTTCCACCAATACCTTTCTGGACATAAATATGTAATAGTGACGGATCACAAACCCCTGCTAGATCTACTTAAAGAGGACAAGACAATGCTGCCCATAGCCTCAGGGTGAATTCAGTGGTGGGCTCTAATACTAAGTGCATATACTTACAAGTTGAACACCTTCCAGGAGGCCAAGTAGCATATGCGAATGCATTGAGCTTCCTCCCACTGGCAGATACACCGTCAGTGGTACTGTCATTGGAAGAGTCTGTAATCATTTTAAATTTTCTGGACACAGTTCCAGTAACAGCTGACAATATTAGAAAGATCTGTTCCTGGCAAAACTGAAACAGCTAGTAGTGATGAGGGAAACCAAAAAGGGCTATCACAACCAGAATTGAAACCTTTTTGGACGAAGAGACCCCCAGTCACAATACAGGAGGTCATATTATTATGGGGAGAAGACTCCACACCAGGTTAAATCTGATTTTCCTAGGACCTGGGAGGGAGGGTGAAACGGCATCAGGACTGCCGATGCTGGACTTAAGACTCCGCTAAATGAGACAGACAGGGGACAAAGTTTGGTGTAGGAACCACAGAAATGTCCTGCATGGGTAAGAGGCATGGTCGATGTGAGGTCAGATCCAGCCATGGTCCTGAACAAGCACACAGACCATTTGACAGCTGCAAACTCAAACGGTGTTATGCAAAACATGCCTGGTTCCTCCACTGCCTTTCTGCGTGTTCTGGAACCTGTGGGTTCTCCCTGTCCATCAAGCATTGGAGATATGCCATGTCTATCTCAGATTGTGAGGTATGTCGCCACCTCAGTGCCTTTGCCGCCTGAAGAGGAGAATGAATTTCTTCTGAGACGTTCCTGGGGCAAGAGGCTGCTCCAGGAGAAGCTACCAGAAAAAGAACCAGCCTATGTCCTTGGACTCAGAAGGGGAGGGATCTAGTGATTGTAATGAAGTCAGCCGATGGATCCCATAGATTATGAGTTCCCTGATCGGGGCTGTTATTCTGGCCCAGAGAGTCCTGGTTGACAGATATAAACAGAAGTGTCAGAGATTCTGTTCACTCAGAGCTGGCTTTAGGGAAGCTGGATCACCGTCAAATGACTCTCCATGAGTAAATAAAGGGTGAATTGGTGATAGGATACTAGCTTCTGTGGAGTTATTTCAGAAACCATTTAGCATTTGTATGAAGACATGTTAACCAAATTTCCTTTGAAGAAATTGGGGGTACATTAATAAATTAATGTCAAACCTAAAATGTTTTTTATTATTATATTTATGTGCTCTTGCAAAATCAAAACGAAGCAATCATTTTAGACTGGAACAGCAAATATTGAATGCATCAGAACACTGTTCTATACCTTTAAAGTCATGTTATGTCTGTGTTGGCTGCTATGGAAATGGGCAAGTCAGGACAGAACCAATTAGTTGCAGTCAGCCAAAAATTAAATAAATGCTCCCTAATGAAACATTAAACAAAAGAAACCTAGAATCTCTGCCCAATGTAAGACTTACAATAACAAATGTAATGATGAATATTGCAGTCTTTCAATAAGAGACAGAAATAGAAAAAACAGAAAAAGAGACAATGGCAGAGGTACAAAGTCAAAGAGACAACAAACAGATTCCTGGCCCCCCACCCCCAACATCGATCCCACCCTGAGAGTGCAGCAGAATCCAGGATTAGGAAATACATCCCTCAGGAGAATGAGTCAATTTAAGTAATTGAATTGAGTTCTTGCACATTGCTACTTTATATATTCTCTGATTCTACGTTCTTGGCTTAATTTGAAGTAATATTCCGGGTTTTCCTACTTCACTACTTATTTGAATGGAGAAATCCATGGCCACTTGAAGTTTCAGATTAGATGGCAGGTAAATTTAGTATATATACTTAAAAAGTGAGACAAGATAGTACGCAAAATGATACTTTTCACTGTTTCTTGGTACGTGTGATAATAATAAATCAAAGAAAATTAGACAAGTATAGGTCTAATAACTGAAGACGATATAAATTAATGACTTTTTTTCAAAAACTAAGCTGGAACAAACACACTTGGGGTAGTACTTCTATTGTGTTACCAGAAAAAACTAACTTGCATTTATATACTACCTTTTATTTACTCCAAACTTTGTAAAGCCAATGAAATACATTTAAGGTGTAGACAATGTTGCAGCAATGCAGCAGTCAATTTGCATATAGCAGCGAAATTAATAACACAGTTTGGGTGTTGGTTGAGAGACAAATGTTGGCCAGGTCACCAAGGGACCTCCCACGCTTATTTTCAAATAGTGCTGCAGAATTTTTTATGCCCGCCTAAGGCCTTATTTTCACCTGAAAAACAGGACTTTTGACATTAGTGCAGTACTG